TTCTTTATGCTTTAGTGACAGGGACACACAAAGTGCAGATACTGGGAGGGATCCGAGAGCACTGGTCGAATTCATAGAGACAGAAGGTGGAATGGTGGCCGCCAGGCACCAGGCGGAGGAGAGTGGGGCCTTGTTTGATGGGTATAGTGTTTCAGTTTTGCAAGACAAGAAAGTTCTGGAGATCTGTTGCACAGCATTGTGGATATACTTAACACTAGTGAACTGTACACTTAAAAATGGTTAAGATGATCAACTGTATGTTATGAGATTTTTTTTTTACCACAGCCTAAAAAAAAATGTTTTTAAAAAGAGCACTGGCTTGGTGCCAGGTGGGTACTGAAAATATCAAGGGGAACACTTTGTAAAGTATATGATTGTCTAAACACTGTGCTGTACACCTGAAACTAATACAAAACAGTATTGAATGTAAACTGTAATTGAAAAATAAAATGTAAAGTTCTTTTGTAAAAAAAAAAAAAAAGATAGCAGTGGTGCGGGAGTCAGGTGGGAATTTGAGCATATCCAGTCCTGCGTCAGTCAGGAGCCTCCGGGACAGTGCACTGCTGACAGCAGCCCTGTTCTTTGAGGTAGTAAATGCCCCTCTATCATGTGCTTTGCCCTCTGTGACCTCCTTCTAGCCCCTGTCCCTCTGAAGTTTTCAGCCATCACCTGGGAAGAAAGGGGAAAAGTGGCAAAATCCCACCCTGGGAATATACCTGCCTGGTGCGGTGAGGGGAGCATGGGCTTCCAGGCTGGAAGCTGAGAAGCAGCTCCCTCTTTTACCCTTTGGTGGCTTAGCTCTCAAAGGGGATGCTGCAGATATATGCCATTCGCTCAGAGGAGAAACCCATCCAGGCTGTGAACTGCTCCTCTCCTTCTGGAGATTCTGGGCATCCTGGGGACAAAAGATTAGGGACACTGCTAGAGATGCCAGGGCAGAGAGGCATGGAAGTGAGCATGGAATAGGGTCTCCTTCCTGGCCCCACACTCCCAGGAGAGCAGCCTTCATGGAGGCCACAACAACACTCAGTTCCCTTGGAAACTCAAGTGGCCTTCTTTTCTGTGACATTAGCATGGACCATTCCCAGGGGAGAGTCCAGCTCTGCTGCCACCATCCAACATGGGGCATCCCGACTGGGCTGAGTTTTACCTCCAGCCACACTGCGCACCTAGACCGTGGTCCCTGACTCAGGGCCGACTGCATCATGAGGCACAGTGGGGACAGTGCCCAGGGCCAACAATACTTTTAGGGGCCATGAAAATGTTTTAATATCTTCTAAAATTAGAAGAAAAAAATGAGCCATCAGGTCAAACTACATATTATAATATATATTAATATGTTTGGTTTTATATCAACGTAGTAAAATATAATATCTAATTTTTTATTTTGTTATGGAGGAAGGTGCCCAGAAAGTCAGAAGTTCCCATGAAAATCATAATGCAGCCCTGCCCTGCTCTGGTCCAAAGAGCCAGGCTGGCAGGGACTCCCTTGGGCCCCTCAACCCACGGCGATGTTCCTCACCCTCTTCCCTGTCCCTATAGCAGCTGCTGTCTGCCCCTGCCCCGTCACCATTTAGGATCTGGAATATTTTCCCTGGTATTGTATTTCTTTTGGGGGACCCATTTCACATACCAGTTCCACCACTTGGCTGTAGCTATCCAGAGCACGGGGTGAAAAAAATTCAACAGGCTTGTCTGGGGTCTGTGGGAAAGCTGCTGTCACCCCTTAGTGGTCCCTCCTGGGCTCCCGAAGGGGCAGGGACAGCCCGCGTGCTCTGTCCTTGCTTACGAGGGACCATTGCCTTGTACCTCCAGCTCCGTTGACCACAAGCTCCGCAAGGTGGAACCTGCCTTACACGTGCTGAGCACCGCACCCTGACCGACGTGGAAGCCTCCTAAGGCCCGCTGGTGGGCTCATGGGAGTCATGTCTGCAGATGATACGCGGCATCGAATTCAGTGCCCCTGACATGCTGTCATTCTTTTTCCTCTGTAGGCGCCTGAACAAGAATAAACTCCAGGTCCTCCCAGAGCTGCTTTTCCAGAGCACCCCGAAGCTCACCAGACTGTGAGTAGAGTGGATTTGTGTTCTCTCCCTGGTGTCTTGCCCGGCTCTGGTTACATGGAAGGTGTGGCTGCAGGAACGTGGCCATTAGGCCTCACTCGTGGAGGTGTGGAGCAGGGCGTTCATGTGCCGTGTGCTGTCCCCCCCCAGGCCTGGCTTTCTTGCTCCCATCCTTCAGAGGTCAGTGGCCTACGTGGCCAGTGGGGGCAGGCAGCCATGGTAGTGGACCTCCCCTGTGCAAGGAGGGAGGAAACTCTTCTGCTTAATGTGGGTCTGAACTTACATCAGGGAAATGCCCCGACCGTGGGGCCTGAGGTGAGTTTACTCACAGGAGACTGCCAGTGGCCCCAGAGGGCACGGTTTGGACTAAACATTTCACCGTCACCACCTTGCTGGCTAGAACGTCCTGCCTGCTGCCTGCTTCCGACCGCTGCCAGTCGGGGAGCCCTGGGTATAGAGGCCTATGATTTTGTGGGAAATGAAAGAAATACCTTGAATTTTGCTTTGTCTTCTTGAATGGTCTAGGATATCACAGGGAGGGGAGAGTTGGAGATGCCTGTGTGCATTTGTTCAGTGTGAGAGTTTGGAAGCTCAGGAGCTGGAGATGCAGGTCAAGAGGGAGATTGTGACTCACGTGTTGCGGGTGCGAGGCGGGTGCTCATTATTGACAGTGAACAGCTCCATGATTTTGAACCTGAAACTTCTGCTGGCATTGACTAGGGCACATTATGGGGTGAACCGGGTTGTCCAGGGCTCGCCTTTCTGAATGGAGCTGCCCCGTGTCTGGCCGCTTAGCAGTCAGGCAGTGAGATTTACAGCCTGGCTGGGAGACTCTAACTTTACTGGGGAGGTGCCAGAGTGGTGGCCACCATTCTCATTTGCAATGGCTGTGTGTTTAATACGTACTTCTGCAGTCAAACAATGCATGTAGTTTCCGGGATAAATTGGGAAATATGAAACACATGTCGGCGTGTGCAATGAGGAATGAGTTCTGAATTAGGAACCTATATCTCTATCCATATCTGTCTGTTACACAGTGAGACTATATACATAAATGTATTTTAAAGGGCACTTTGTTGGAACAGGAGCAGGCAAGCTTTGGCTGGTGTGTCATCGGCACAGCGCCCTCTCTTGCCTGCTCTAGGACACCAATACTTTGTCAAGGTCCCTTCCCGCCGTGTATTCCGTTTCTCTTGCTTGGCCCACCTGGCCAACGTTGCTAAATGTGGGGAAGATCATGCCTCCCTTCCTACTATTCCACTCGGAATCCACCTGAGGGGGCTGAGGGTGGACGAGGCGCAGTGAGTGTCCAGCAGGGCTGAATAAGCAATACCAAGTGGGCATTCAGCGAAATCACCCTGATCTTAAACTTCCTCTCCTCTGTATAGGTGTTTCCTGAAATGCTCACCTAATAGCCATCTCTCCACCCAGCACTGCGTTGTCCCTTCTCAGCCTGGTCCTGGCTAACCAGTGCAGGCTGTCTGCTATTCATCTCCCATCTCGGCAGCACTGTCCGGGTGAACGGGAGGTGCCTGGGCTGGGGCTGCCGGGAGGCTTTGAGCGAGTGGAGCCTGAATGTTCCAGTTACTGCAGGATGCCAGGTGGGCTGGTTCTTACTCGTGGAAGCTGTGACCTCGAGCTGCTCCCCACACCATCAGTGATGCCCATGTTGTGCAGGGCTGGTCTTGATCGAGGCAGAGGAGGCAGCCGAGGCAATGGTAACTTCTCTCGGAGCTGCTGGCGGCCAGGCCCGGGCAGGCAGCACGGGGGCATGGGACAGCCCAGGGTACTGTCCTCACTGCCACCTTCTAACTGACAGAGGTTGGGAGAGTCCCTTTCCCTTCTGTGTCTAAATATATGCTCATCGGGGAAAAGGAGACATCCCCTCTTGCCTTCCACCTGCCTCACCAAGAGCTGTAAGCATCTGATGAGATAATGGTGTGTGTGTGTTTTCTAGGGTTTAAAGTGCTGTATGAGTGTAATCGCCAAGATAACTATTGTTCCTCCTACAGTCTCCATCTTCCCAACCTCGGTTTCTCTGGGAGCCATGGAGAAACTAGGATTTGTTATGAACACTGACATAAATTGCACCGAGCTTTTTCTTCAAGCCAGGGAGCTGCACCAGGAAGGCAGGGATGATGTCGGGCTTATTCCGGTATCCCTCCCGCTGTAGATCCCAGCCAGGCTCAGAGTGCGGTGTACATGGGCACTCATGAATGGGTGGACGCAGGGATGAGTGATGGAGGCCTAAGGATATAAACGGTGCTCTCAGGGAGCTCTGGTTCTTTTATCTGCCATTCATTCACTCACTCATTTATTCAGTAAGCTTTTCCCGGCACTTGTTCCTGCCTGGCCTCTGCACTGGTATTGAGCTGCGGACATGAAAGATGCCCAGTTCTCTGTGTGCCCCATCATGACACATTCTGAATTGCTGCCAGGAAGCTAAGAGCTAAATAATTTTTTTTTTTATTGAAGCAGTTATATTAACCTAGGTTTGGGCTATAATCACCAATCCCCTTTCTCTCTGGGCTTGATCTTTGATTTTTCTTAATGGCCCTATTGTGTCTTTGTCTTATTTTGTCAGCCACTGGAGGGCCTTTTTGGAAGTAAGCAGGGTACAAATTAGAAATCAATATCTGTGCAATCAAGAGTGTGTATACATATGCCACTGGCCCTTTCAAAAGAGCAGTGCGTCTCAGTAGATACAGTGGGCCATTTTCCGGAGATGCTAAGTGTGGTTATTATGTGGCTGTCTCCTCCATCGTGTGCATGTGGGATACACAGCAATCCAGAGACACCGTCTTCTGATGACAGAATCCTTCTTTCTTATTAGATCTATAGATAAAATTGCTTAGCACTCAATGTTTATGCAAAAAATACCTTTTGGAAGGGCTATGGGCATGTCATTAGACTCCTTTTGAGTGTTGATGGAAAGATAATATTTATTGAGAACTTTTGCTACTAAAACAGTAATACTAACTAGTAAGTGACATAAATCCAACTAAAGTTAGTTTAACCCACAGAGGAAATGTATTAGTTCATATGCCTGAGGAGCCCAGTGACCGTTGGGGATGGCTTTAGGGACAGCTGGACCCAGGAGCTTGATGATGCCATTGGCCCTTCCTCTCCCTCTCTTCATCCCTTGGAACAGCACTCATGAGGGTGGCCCAAAGCAGAAGACTCCTAGCGTCCTCACCTAGCACCCTGGGTGGAGAGGGTACCCAGGGGAACAGTCCTGCAGAAGGGAACTGAGGGTAGATTGCTTAACTTGGCTACACATCCATGTCGAAGCAAATCACTGTTGCAGTGAACTGTTGTCCCCTGGGTGATGAAGTCTGGGCCAAGTGTTCATGCATGTGTTTGGGGGTGAGGGTGTGCAGGGCCTGGGAGTAGGTTTTTTGGGAGAAAGAAGGATTCTGTCATCAGAAGACAGGGGAAGGATTCACACTTGAAAGCAACAGATGCCTACAAGTTACTGAGCTTCTACTTTCTGCAGCTCCCCAGGCTTTAATTGAGTGCTCTGGCCCCTCAGAGTACTGCAAGATAATAATTCTGGCAAACACATTAGTGCCAGGTGCTGTTCTGAGCACTTTATCTATAACCGCCCCCCATGTGATACTCCTAACAACCCTGTAGGGCAGGTACTATGATTATTACTATTCCCTAGATGTGAAACTCATGCTCAGAGAGGTGAAAGAACTTGCCCAATATCGTACAGCTACTGAGTGACACAACCAGGATTCAAATCAGTGTAATCTGACACCGATTCTGTGCTTTTCTCTAGTATAATCAGCTCCTGCCTCTGCACTCCCATTTCATAGATGAGAAAACTAGAGCTCAGAGTTTAAATTACTTACCCATATATCCCACAGTTCTAAGAAGCAGTGCTACCCTGGACTCTCTGCCTCAATACTGAGGTTTAACCTTCACACTAGTCCTGCAAAGCTCAGAAGGGTTACCTAATTTACCCAAATTCATATAACCAGGAATGATGGAACAGGGACTCGAATGCGTGCCTGTGTCACGGCAAAGCCCCCCAGTTCTCTGTCATGCCATACTGTCATGCTAACCACTCTGGAGAGCTAGTTAGGACAAAAAGGGTTGATAATGAATGTAACTGTCATAAATCCCAGTGCCTCTGTGAGGCCTTGGCTGGTTACTCCACCCCCACCCTCTCAGACCCAGCAGCGCCTGATTCAGCGCCTCATGTGTATATTAGCGGTGCACCTGCCCTCTGACTTTGTTCTCAAGCACACTGAGCATAGGTCAGAGACGGCGAGAGCCTGGGAGGGCCCTGAGATTCAGGTAATATCGCTGTAGTCTGTAAGACACCAAGCAAGGTCTCCGTCACGCCTTGGGCACTCATTAGCTCCCTCCCATCCTGATTTAGATCATAATGTTCTCAAGTGGGAGGACTGTGCTCCTGCCCTTTCCAGGTCTCCTATGGGCTCCTGACCCTGGGCTGAGCATAAGAGATGGCAATAAAGTGAAAGGGTTAAGGGGCTGCCAATTATGTGCTATGAGACTGGGCAAGTTACTTAACCTCTCTGGGTCTCAGGTCCTTCATCAATGAAACAGGTAAAAATAGAACGTGCTTCTCTGTGTTGTTGGGAGGATAGATGGAAGTTACCCATGGACAGTCTTTACCATAGAATGCAGCACATAGCAAGTGCTCATGAAAGGTGACTGTGGTTAACTTCTGCCCGCTGGCTGATGGAGCGGTGCCTACGCTGGGGCGCTGGCATCTGTGGTGTAAACAGTTCAGCACCTGGCAACGAATTCAGGCTCCAAGAGAGATGAGGGCTGAGGGAAGCACTGCACTTGAGTGGAACGATCCTGGTCCTCATGTGGCTCTGCCTCCCGCAGCTGTGTGGCCTCCGCCTCTCTGAGCCTCAGTTGTCTCATCTAGGGAGGATGGGCTGGAGCGTGGTCTATTTCATGGCCTATAGGTTATTAAATGTTTTGTGCCTCCCCTTCCAGCTTTCCCTTTCACCTGCACATGA